CACTGTGCCTGGGCAGCTCTCCTCTCCTTCCAGCTGCTCTGCACCAAAAACTGAACACAAAAGATGTGTTTGGGTTTTTTTTTTTTAAGCATAAACGTTTTTTCGCATCTCCACAGCTTTAGACAACATGGGGCTAGGCTGACCTCAGCCTGAAGCCTCCTCTCAGAGCTTTGGTTAGGCTGGCGAAGGCCTTTTGAACAGGGACCCTGGTACACAGGGTACGGGATTTTCCAAAAGCCCCATCAGAAGGACACGGTGCTGGTAGAGTGACCCCATGCCAGCAGTGGTGCTCAATTCCCACCTCCCGTGCAGCAGTCACCTCCCTCCTTGCACCTCCCACCTGTAAAACAGGGATTGCAATGATTTCAATGCAAGGACTCGCAGCTTAGACTGGATGGGGAAAAAAGGAGCTAAACTAATCCCTAGAAGCTCGACTGTCCCCTGGAGAAATGCAGGAGGATGAGAGCTGGCTGCTGCCTCCCAGCCTCAGCAGAGCATCCCCTCCCTGAGGGGCACCCCACGAGGTGCTGCTCCTCCCTGCGTCTTCTGGGAGGGCCAGAGCTTGACTTGTTTATGCTGCCATGAATTCCCCAGCCTGTAAACAGTCAGCCCAGAGCCTGCCAAGGGAAGAACAATGTTTTCCAGCTGCACTGCAGCACCAGCTTTCATACCACACACAGCGCTGCCAAGGCAAAGCCGGGCCCTTTCCTGAACATCCCTCTGCATCTGCAAAGCAGAAAGCTGAGGTGCTGCTGCAGCACAGCCTGCTCGTGGAGGGATGGCTGCCTCTTCTGGCAGGGAAATGGGGACTCAGCTCGTGCAATCCCGCTTGCAGACTCTCAGGATCAGTGCTGCGATCCCTCCATCCTGGGAGTGCTGCTCCATTGGCAGCAAAGAGCTGGGTTTGTTAAAAAACCTTGCAAGAACTGGTTCTGCAGTGACTGGGCTTGCAGTGATGTCCCAGCCCAGGGAGCCCTCCCCACAGATCAATTTGTGTATGAAAATATCAAAATGGGAAAGGCAGGGCATCAGCAGAGCTCGTTGGAAAGCTACAGCACACAATAGCTTGTACAGAATTAGCAAACTCTGGATCAGGCCCTCCCATAACCCCAGAAAGGCCCCAAAGGCTGTGGGGGCTCCTAGTCCATGGGCATCCCCACACAAACCTGCAGCCCTACACAACTCCTTGCAGGAGGAGGCGGGATGGTGAGACCACACTGGCACCACCTCCCCTGGGAGATTCAGGCAGGGAGAGCTGCTGCCCGCACAGCCCGACCCCGGGCAGCACAGCCCAGCTCGCACCGGGGGCTCCATGGGTCCAGGCCAGACACCGACAGCTGGAAAAATGCAGAAAAGGCTCATTTCTTTTCCCTTTTCCCCCTTGCATGGCCTCCCATGGTGCCTACCCAGCTCTCTGGTACACCCAGCATATTGCTGGCAAGCGGCTGGTGCGGTCCCTGGCACGGGGAACCCAGGGGCTGCAGGAGCGCAGACCCCTACAGCAGAAGCTGCAGCCAGAGCAGTGGCGATGCAGCCAGTGGGCTCTAGCTGAAATAAAGCTCCTTCATCCCATCCGCCCTGCAGTCTCGGAAAGCCAAGGAACAGGAGCTTGCAGGCAGCGGGATTTGGACACACAGCTTCCATCCCTCCCTCCCTGCATGTGCACACCCTCCAGGACACTGGGACACTCCCATCCCCCCTGTGCCACACTGCAGGTCCCCAAAGGAGTCACAGGTTGCAACTGTTCAAACCAAACAACCAAGGTATGCAAACCCTCTTGCTGCTCTTGATTCCCACACGAGGCATTTCTTCCCTAGTACTTGTAGCGCAGTTGCATCTGCTGTCTGAGCTGCTCAGCACAATCTCTTAAATACAAGAAAACTCAACCAGCAGGAAATTATAGCCAAATTGCTGGAAATACCAGCAAAGATCAGGGCTCTGGTATAGAAGCAGCAGTGCAACCCTTTGAGCCCTAACATGCTCTCTGACTGCTCAAACCAGTGCAGGGCTCCCAGGAGAGCGGGCAAGGGAGCTCTCTGCAAGGCTTCGGTGAGTCCTGACACCCCTTCGGGTGTTCCTCTTGGGGACGTGCCTATGGTTAATGCACCCCAAGACGCAGGAAGATGCACAGGACCATGGGCCATATCACATCGCCAGCTTTAATGACAGCTGAACTCAAGCCAGCTCCTCGGGAGCGGGGTTTGCTGACTCCTAAGGCAAAGACCCCCATGCTGAGCCCGAGCTGCTGCTCCTGAGGAGGCTCCAGAGAGGACAAACATCATCGCAGAAGAACAAAAAACAACTCGCAGAGCACGTTGCAGGCAGCTGGCGCAGAGGGAGAACTCACCCACGACCATGATGTTGAACTCGAACCCCTGCTTCATGGCTTTCCGTCTCATCTGCTCCAGGATGGCATCTATCCCTACGTAGCCAAAGTCTGCAGCCGGTTTCTCTGGCCGCGTTGGCACCGGCTGCTTGGGGCCGGCATCCCGTGGAGTGTCCGTCATGCTGAGTGCGTGGCTGGGAACTGCCTCTGGACCTGTGGAGGCAAAGAGAGGGTGGTCAGGGCTGGCAGGCAGTGCCGAGCACACCGGGATGCTGCTCCTAGTAGGGAATGAAAGGAGCTGCCTACTGCTTCCAAAGCAGGAATAAAGCATGTGCAGGGACTCAGGGCACCGGGAGGCTAAGAGGGAGGAGGCACACGGGATCTTCCTTCACCTGTAATTACATTAAATTTGGGATTCCCCTTCTTAACTTACTGAATTCGCCTTGATCCCTGCTCACATCACCAAGCCTACCGCAGCAAAAGGGTGCTGCTACAGAGGGAGCAGGCACACCAGGTCCCACGAGCAGCCAGTCCGCTGCTGTGGAGCGGGACCCAGCACTAAGAAAAGTCCTCAACACAAGTCTGGGAGTTTATTTAGTGAGTGACAAAGGCTTTTAGCAACACGGCCTTGTGCCCAGGCGCTGCTGTTAGAGGCTTGCAGACCTACACAGCCTGCCCACTCCTCCGTACCACTGTAATTACAGGGCTATGCAGATTACTGGTGGGAATGCCTCGCGGCCACGCTTCGGGGAACTGGTTGGCTTTGCAGACACAGAAAAGTCCCCGGTGTCGGCACACGTGCCCTCCTCGAGCTCCAGCTGACGCGGCACAGAGGCTGCCGGCCCCAGCTTGCTTCTCACCAAAAAACCAAAACCCAACAGATCTGCATCAAAACAGGTCATGCCAGACGACACCCACGCAGTCACGAAGCTTTCGCGATCCTGCTCTAATTCTGCCGATACCCAACTGAGGAACTCAAACCCTTTGACTTCCCACAGAGACAGGTTAGCAAAGAGCTTCAGGAGAAGCAAATGTACACCTACTGCCTCATTTAACACCTTCATAACAAAATCATAACAAAAAGCACCCCCTCCCCCAGGCACCAGCCAGGAGAATCAGCCACTGGGAAGGACAAACTGCCCTCGATGAGCTACGGGGCGATGCAGCCTGCTCCCACCCTGCCCCAGTGGGCACAGCAAATATCCCGACGGCAGAGCATGCACAAGCTCAGCCTGGTCCCTGCAAGCTCCTGGAGGTATCAGCCGTGCAGGGCAAGCTCCTCTACTCCAAGCCTGGAGAAGCAGATTTTAGGAAAACACACTTCTGAGAGCCCTCCCCACCCCGGGCTGCTGCTGATCCATGCCCTGGTCCCTACAGCCACAAGCATTTTATTTTTGTTGAGCCTTTTGCAAAGCTTATTTATTATTTTTTATTATTTATTTGATTACTATTAATTAACAATATTATTATTATTATTATTTACAAAGGACTCATTGCAAAGTCCTCATCCTCATTCCTTCAAACAGGAATATGGATCACAGCTCATCTGCCTCACCCCACTGTTGTTTCTGGCCTTTGATGAGATGCTGCCTGGTTTTCCCTCCCTCCAGCCGAAGGGATTTGGCTGTAGGAACATGGCTGGTCCAGAGGGGCTCCTCCAAACCCAAGCCCGTCAGCCCTTCTCCTCCAGTGACGGACAGGAGCCGCGGGAGCAGCATCAGACCGGAGCCTGCTGGGGTCTGCGAGGAGGAAGCGCTCATTTCCTGCCAGCACAGCGCACTTCCACGTGCTCAAATACAGGCCAAGCAGAAAAAATAGATAAAAATAATAAAAACCAAACCCACAACTGATCCCAAAGACTGTTGGGTTACCCTGAACCCTTTTTTCCAACTCTTGATCGTGGGCTGTGCCGACCAGCGTTACTCATAGAGTTGCTAGAGAGCAAACATGCCGTAGCTGACACGTGCGGTAGCACCATGCTCCTCCCCGGCTTTGCACCGGGCACACGCGGATTCAGGCTCTTGCACAGCTGGCAACACGCTGCCGCGCTGCTCCTTGCAAAGCTGACCAGCCCAGCATGCCCGAGGTCTCGCCACAGATCCTGAATTAGCCCCGTTCCAAAACAGCAAGGCCAAAAGTGGAAAAAAATCCTTACATACCACCAGGGGGAAAAAAAAAAGGAAAAAAAAAGAAAAAAAAAAAGACTAAACCACGTGGAAAATATGCTGCCACCGGCAGCAGCACAGGGTTATGCAACGGTTTTAACTCCTGCAGGCACCGCTTGCAAGAACAGGAGAGAGCCCAAAGCGTGCTGGCCCCGTGGGGTGGGACAGCAGCCTGGGAAATTGGTGCTGAGTCCAGCAGCATGCACAGAGAAATTAAAAAATTAAACAAATGGAGCAGAAAGCCACCCTCGGCTTGCAGTAAAGGCCAGGAGCACCTCCAGCACCTCCTGGCTGCTGTTTGTCTATCAAGCTCTGCTATCGAGCAGCTGGCAGCGTGCAGGAGGGGCTGACCCCCTCCCTGGGCAGGGGGACCTGCCCCCAGCACAGGGAGCAGACGCTACATGCTGCCTCACCACACCATGTTGCCTTCAGCGCGACCAGGAGGGCTCAGGACTCCCCAGCCCCCAGCAAGACAAAAGCCACAGGAAGTGCGGGGCGATGGCAGGCGGTTGTTTGTCACCGTGGAGCACGCAGGCGTGCTGCCACCTGGGATGTGCTCGAGCGAGCGGCACAGCCGGCAGCGCAGCCCACGCTGTCTCGGCTCGCCTGTGGGGAAAAAGTGATTTAAAGGACATTTCATTCTAGCACCTGGCTCCTGTTTGGGAAAAAATAAAAGAAAAATTAATATGTTGCAACTAGGAGTGTCTGCAGGACAGTAGGGATGCAAAGGCACAATGTCCTGGCAGCACCAGCAGACTCCCAAGGGAAATGCTGCAACCCAGACCTTCAGCTTCCCAGCACTTTTCTAGCAAGGACTCCAGCATCCCACTTGGCTCCAAGGGGCTTGTGCCAGCAGAGGCAGGATGAGTCCGAGCCGCAGGACCACTCCAAGGCACAGGCACATGGGGATGCTGTGCCAGGTGTCAGGGAGCACAGCTGGCAGACACTTGCCTAAAATAGAAAGATCCTAGAAATAAACTGGAGCAGAAGCGGTGGCTGCCTGGGACACACCACGGGCAGATCTTGTACTCGTCTGACCCATCGTGCTCTCTGCAGGGACGGTGCCAAACCCGCGGCGCTCTCGGTGCCAGCATCGCCGAGCTGACCCTTCCAGAGCGCCGCAAGGAGGGATGGATTAATAAACACCCTGTACTGTCATCAATACCTGACTGCCACTGAGTCCCCAGGAAGAGCAGGATCAGACCTCACACACCCTTGCCTCACCAGCGCCACCGTCACATGGCTGAAGCTGAGGAAGCCCAGGGGCTGCTCACTTTGCTGATGGGGGCAGAGAGCCCAGAGCCTGCAGCTCCCTTGGGCTTGTGCATTCCTGGATAAACATGAAGCACTCCGGAACACGTGCTTGTGCCATATTTAGACCTCCTTTGCCCGGGAAACCCTCTCCACGTGGGCACGGGAGATGTTGAGACCGTCAGGGCAGCTCTGCACTGAGCAGGAACAGAGGCAAGACTCCAGCCCGGGCGCCAGGCTGACTCAGGACAGCTGCTCCAAAGTTGATTTTGCCAAAGACTCCGGGCTGTTGCACTGTAATTGATGCGCGTCAGACATGAGCCAAATCCAACATCTGCGAAGCAGCAGATGAAAGGCACCCTGCGGGGAGGGGAGCCCCAGGGAGCCCCCCGGGGAGCCCCCAGCTCCTCCAGCCAGCTGGACGCCATGCACGGGCAGCCGTAGGACGGGCTTTGCGAAACACTGCTGGCGAGGGGCTGCCAGCAAGCCGGGGGCTTAGAAATGCTGCACTGGTGCCACGCGGCTGCAAGAACCCGGGACGCTGTGGGCAGGGGATGCAAACGCAGGCCATGGGCTCACCTGAAGTCCCGAACCCTGGGGCTGGGCAGTCCCCATCAAGGGACTTGGGAAAGCAATCTGTAGGAGACTGGTGTTTCCACTGGGGATACACAAAGGTTAAACAACTTTGGCAGATACTGAACCGGGAACATCTTGCATACCCCAGCTCGTCGCATACCCCCAGCTCGCAGGTAGACCCAGCAGCTCTATGCTCTGCTCCAGGGAGCACGGGGAGTGGGATGCTGGTTATCCAGGAGCCCAGCTCATCATGGACCTGGTGCTCAGCGGCTGCACAGAGCTGCCGGAGAGAGGCCAGGAGGCTGCACCTCTGCCACTGCTGCTCACCAAATCCTCCCCACCACCAGATTCAAACCATTCGCGCACGATATGGGTGCACATGTGATCAATGGAGAAATGCTAACGCTTGCTGGGTAAATCAAAGAAACATCCCTTGGATGCAGGGAGCACCAAGCATTTGCTACCTTTTGGTGATTCTGCAGCTGGTTCTGCAGAGCTACAAGCACCCAGCAGACCAACACGCTGCAGTGGGGATCAGTCCCCTTCCCTCCACACAATGGAGACTGGAAACACTGAGAGCTTCCAGATTTGTTGGATAGGTCCATGCGAACACAGAGAAGATTCACAGCAGCGAACAGCAGTATATCAGGGCATGAAAACACAACCGCTTCCCAGGCAGCTGAGCATCCACAGATATTTTCAAGGGAGCAGTGCAGACCAACCAACCTTTCAATTCTGGGGAGCAGCAATCTTACAAAACTGTGTCTCTAGGGTGTAACAGAGATCTTTTTAGAACCAGAGTGAATTTGTAGCTCCTGGTTAACTACAGCCCATCGGCAGGGCTGCAGCACGGGCAGCCCCTGGAGCCTCTCCCCTTTGCACACTGAGCTGGCGACCATGAGCTACGGAAATGGATCCAACCCGTGGAGGAGGTGGCAAAGCCACAGCTTTCCCTTCCAAGGGGACAGGCGGAGTCAGGAGGGGGGGAGGCAGCAAAGGTGGGGCTGGATGCACACCCAGCGTGGTCCAGGCACCGCTGCTTTCTTCAGCTGCCCAGTCAGTCACCGGGGGATCCCCCAGTGCCGAACGCAGCAGGTCTGTGCTGGTCCCGCAGGGATGCGTGGGTACCAAGGAATGCCAGGCACAGCTCAGTCCAAAACTGGGGGGGGGTGCGTACAGCCAGCACCCCGGAGGAGGGCTCAGCCTGGGGTGCAGAGCCAC